AATGGAATATTATTCAGCCATAAGAAGAAAACAAATTCCTACCATTTGCAACAACATGGATGGAGCTAGAGGGTATTATGGTCAGTGAAATAAGCCAGGCAGAGAAAGACAAGTACCAAATAATTTCACTCATATGTGGAGTATAAGAACAAAGAAAAACTGAAGGAACAAAACAGCAGCAGAATCACAGAACCCAAGAATGGACTAACAGTTACCAAAGGGAAAGGGACTGGGGAAAATGGGTGGGAAGGGAGGGATAAGGGCAGGGAAAAAGAAAGGGGGCATTACAATTAGCATGTATAATGTGCGGGGGGGGGCATGGGGAGGGCTGTACAACACAGAGAAGACAAGTAGTGATTCTATAGCATCTTACTATGCTGATGGACAGTGACTGTAATGGGGATTGTGGGAGGGACTTGGTGAAGGGGGGAGCCTAGTAAACATAATGTTCTGTATGTAATTGTAGATTAATGATAACAACAACAAAAAAAGCTATTAGTACAAACTCCAAAAAATCTTTTAGAGAGCTTACATACTGCAAAGCTGGCCCAGCAGTGTGGTAATCGACTGGTTCCCTTTTATTTCTTTATGCTGTTGATCAATATTCTAAGTGGAATTTCCCATAACATCATAAAAGTGTTTAACTGCATTTTCTTTAGGGTGCAAGCTATACAATTTTAACAATTGAAGCTTATTTATCTGAGTAGGGGATACAGAAAGGATATAGTCTGAAGCATTTTAACCTTTGATCTGAGTACTGCTTGACTTTTTATTGCCAAAGATTCCTTTTGAAACAGAGCTATGAAAATGTCCCCTTATTTTTAAATATTCAAAGTTAAAATGTAAATACATAAAATGAACATAGCATACAGGCAGTCAGGATATGGAAGGGGACAGCATTCGAGTGAGACCTGAGACACTCTGAGCCTCTGGTTCTCCTGGTGGGTTATTAGGCTTTGCCTCAAAGGTATATAACATTTTGTTCAATTGCTGCAAGATGTTCAAACCATTTGGTCTCTGCTGATACACCTCAGTCTAATGTATTTAAAGTGAGATCGAATAAAGCAGAAAACCAAAAACACTAGCAATACTAAAGAAAGTGTAAATCTCCAAATCACAAAGAGCTGAAACCACAACTGTTTCCTGCAGATTGTTAGTCAAACATCTGCAGCAGGTGTTTTTGCTGCTTGCATATCAGTACGTATTTACTGGTGGATTCTTTGGAGTTTAAAGTTTTCACCCATAATTGTAAAATCCATGAGAATGAAAATACAGTAGTGTTGATGATTTTGATTTCCTTTTTTTCCTCCATTCCATATTCCCAAGATGTTTATATAGGTAACCAGTGACTGTGGCATGTTTTCACATTTCTGTTGAGCTCTGTTTCAATTGGATGTACTTAAATCTTTTCATAATTCAGTGTATCTCACTGTAGCTGTTACTCACATATGTCATATTTTAATAAAGAATGTAATGAAGAAATAGCATGAATGTATAAACACCAAAATCTTGACTAATAACCAGAAGTTTGTTTTCTGTTTTACCCATACCAAGAACAGAAATTTAGTAGTTTTATAAAGTATGCTTGATATAATAATAGCAACAATGATAATCATCCTAGTTTGGACTGCTATAACAAAGTACCATAGAATGGGTGGCTTAAACAACAAACATTTATTTTTCAAAGTTCTGGAGTCCGAGTCACAGTTTCACAGTCCAAGAAGTTAGCAGATTCAGCATGTGGTGAGAGCCTGCTTCCTAGCTTACAGACAGCCCAGTCTTATTGCTTTGTAGGGCCACTCATCCCATTCATGAAGACTCCACTCTCACGACTTAATCTCCTCCCCAAGGCCCCATCTCCTAGTAACTGTCACACTGGGGTTAGCATTTCAACATATAAATGGGGGGCATAAACATTTAGCCCATAACAGTAATAATGGGCAGCTCTTATTGCTCAATTGCCAAATTAATAATCTAAGCACTTTATATATAATGAATTTAATCTTGACAACAACTGTCTTATCACCATTGTTGGTATAAGAAGACTGAGTCCCAGAGAGGGTATGTGATTTGACACATGTGATTCAGCTAGTGAGTGATAGAGCTGGGAATCAAACCCAGATATCTGGCCAGAGAGTTTGAGCTCTTAATTTCTAAATAATGGAAAAAGCTGTAGTTCACTTTCCCCTGTCTGCTATCAAGTACACCTGTAATATTTTTTATTAATATACTTAAGTATCTTGAGACCTCAGTATTTTCAACTCTAAAGTGATAACCTTAGATTCTATAATATTTAATCTTGAAGGTTTTTTCTAGCTCTAAAGGTCTAAATTCCATATAGTTTTAACCATGTGTCAGCCACCAGTTGCACACTGGTTAAATAAATTTTGGGGTGGTCATACAGTGAAATTGTATGCTGATATTACAAAGAATCAGATAGAACTCTTATAATATGGAGGATTGTCTATGCTGAATCAGAAAAACAATGAGCTAGTTGTTAACTATGCATACAGTAATCCCATTTTTGTTTAAAAAAGTATATGTACATGACTATGCATAAAAAATGAAGAACTGAATACTAATTTCTGTATGAGTTTAGAATATAAAGGACTTTTTCTTTCTCCCTTCTGTATTTGATTAAGTAATATTTGCAAGTATTACTCTAAATATCAGGAAAAAATCAAATGTACATCTCTGTGTGCCTATAACTGGACTACAGATCTATTCAGTTTGCTTGAGACCAACTGTGATTAATTTTATCCATTGATTTACACATTTCACAAACATACTCTGTCAGGCATGATGATACAAAGTTGAATAAATAATGATTTAAAGTTAACATATATGTAATGGGGGAGACAGACTTTCAGTAAGTATTTTGGCTTTAATGCAATGCAGTAAGTAGAACTTTAGCAATGCAAACTAAATGCTATGAAAGTACAGTGTCATGTGAGCCTAGACAGGAAGGAGAAGCTAGGGAAACCTGGAGAAATGAGAGCTATATTGCCTCATGGACAAAAAGAATATGGATTGACTCTGAGTAAACAGGCATCCAGAGTGTCTTGAGAGAGGTCTACATATCATTTCCATCCACTAGTAGACAGTGGGACACCCTACTGTGTGGGACGTGCCACTCTCAGGCCAGTCCTTTGGGACACCAGATAGCATGACTAGAGGTCACCTTGGGAAGATCATACAGCCCGTGGTAAAGCTCTTCTTCAATGAGAGTTAGAAGAAAGATTATTTATTTTTGGTGTGTATGATGTGTCAGGTGGTCTGAAGTAGATTCTTTCCAGAGCTTATTCTATAAATATCAGTGTTTATTCTATAAATATCAAATTTGAAAGTATTAAACTACATAAAATCACTCTATTTTCTATTACCTATTCCCTCTTTTCACTTTGCCATTAAGGTACATAGTTTTTTTTGTTTGTTTGTTTTTGTTTTTTGCCAGGTCAAAGATTTTTATTAGAGAAAGACATTTCATTTTAGGTGGCTGGAAAGTACGTGCAGCTGAGAACCATCAACCATTTAGACTACATGCTTCATTTGAGTTGTGTTTCTGGACAAAAGTCAAGTATGACAACTGTGAGTTTCATAACTTTCTCTAACTTGATTCAAAATGTTTTGGGGCCAAAATACTTCTGAGATCTTTTCTGTTCTCTCCTGGTGAGGCCCTGTACAGGTTTCAAGGTCAAGACAATATCACCAGGTCTCAAAAAATTGCAGAAGAGATGAGAAGCCATGAGTCTTAGGCTTGCATCATCTCTTAAACTTGCCTGTGGTCTCCCAGTCATGACTTACCACTTCTTGTTCAAGATGAAAATCTCGGAGGAACGGATAATTTGTCATGTACTTGGTCTGTTTTAACAAATGCTCAGGTTTTTTAATTGGAGTTACAGCTTTTAGACAATGTAGAATAGGTTGTGAGGTGGAAATATGTTGTTCAAGAGGGCTGAATAGACAAGGACGGATCATAGAAAGCAGTGGTTGGTGGGAATTAATCCCAGTGAGTGGCAGTCAGGATGCTACAGTTTTCACTACCATAGTTTCTCTGGGGACGATCAAACCCAGCCTGTACTTTCTATTTTGGGCTCTTTTTTATTTGTGTAATATTATCCATAATAGTTCAGCCCCAGACTATCTAGTTTTTTCAAAATTCAGTCATGGTTAACAAAGTCAAAAATTTGATTCTTAGCCCTAAATCTGAGCAATTTATAATAGAGCCATGTGAACCACTTCAGTGAATCAAATATTTGATTGCATACCTGTGATGTGCTCTGCACAGTCCTTGGGTTGAAGTAGCTAAGTTCTTTGAAGGCTTTATTGCAAAACAGTAAGGATAAAATATATGTATTGAAGAAATATTTAAGAAGTAGGCTCCACATGAGAAGGGGTCCTTCATGAATTATGAGCAGTGTGAGGGGGGAAGAACTGAGGATGTTAAGAGGGCTCTAGCTGTGGGAGATGGGTTGGAAAATGATGATCCATTTGCCAAAATAGAAATAGAGGACGGAGGACAAATGGGTGGGAGTATTGATAGTGAGCTTAGGTTTTTGTTAGTTTGAGTACCTAAGGGATAACTAGCTAAAAATATCAAAAACAATCTTTTGGATTTCCAGAAAGAGGCTGAAGCTGGATACGGGATTTGGAAATCATCAGTATAGTTGCAGCAATGAGAATAGAGAGAGTGACTTGGTAGAACATATCAAGTGAAAAAGGTCATCACTGGACATTAATGCGTAGCCTGGATTTCCATCTCTGCCATTCCATTAAGAATATCAGGACCAGCAACATCCTCCATATTTGCAAAGAGAATAGTTACCTGTGTGTTCTGATTTTATGTAACTCCTTAGAAGTGTTTTTCTTTGTCGATTACCTTCTCCCTCTTGAAACACTTAGTTTTTCTTGACTTCCATTGACACTGTGTTTTCTAGTTTTTTCACCCATCAGTCATCAGTTTCTGTGCTTATGCCTGATTTGTAAAGACTGGACAATTCAGGATTCTGCCGAGGGCTCCCCCTCTTCAGCGCTCGCCTCTGGCATTACCTTGTGCTTTAATTCTAGAGGAAGACAAAATCTATTAAGAGTCAGATAAAGGTATAAGATGTGCCAAAAACAACAGAATATGATTTAAAGGTATGTGTGTTCCTTCCATTAAAAAAAAATGTGGAGGGGATATAGAAAGAACTCCATCAACGTCAATCCAATGATACCAGGTGATGAGAAGGAATAATCCAGTGTTGTTGTGGAGGATTGTGGAAATCATCCAGCAAATTAGCTTAAAAATATTTATTGAGTGTGTACTTCGTGCCAGGCCATGTTTTAGTTGCTGAGGATGCATCTGTAAAAATCCTGCAAAAACTCCTGCCCTCGTGGGACTTAATATTGTAATGAGGGGAGACAGACAATAAACCAATGAATAAGTAAATTATTGAGTATGTAAGACAAGTGCTGTGGAAAAACATATACATGTAAGGGCCATAGGGAATGTTGTGAGGAGGGAGGATATACTTTTTAATAGAGTGATCAGGTCGGGTCTCACTGAAAGAGTGATATGTGAGCAAAAACTTGAATAAGAAAAAGAAGTGACTCTGAGTCCTGTATATATCTAGGGCAAGAGATTTCCAGACAGAGGGCAAGGCAAGTGCAAAGGCCCTGAAGTACCTGTGTACCTACCATGGTCCAGGAACTACAAGAAAGCCTGTTTGCCTGAGCAGCTGATTAAGGTTGGAAATCCTAGAAGGTATATTTATAGAAACCATAGGGGGGACAAAAGAGGGAGTGAGGGAGGTGATGGCAGCTTTTATAGGACCTAGTAATATCTTGTAAGGGCTTTGATTTTTATCCTGAATGAGATAGGTAGCCTTTGGAGGATTTAGTGGAAAGGAGACAAGACCTAACACATTTCAACAGGATCACTCCAGCTACTGAGTTGTAGACAGATTCTAGGGAGGTTGGAGTTGAAGCAGGAAGCCAGTTGTGAGACCATCCATGGGAGATACATTCCAAGACCCGGGGTGAATCATGCCTTAAACTGCAGATAGTACCAAACCCTGTGTGTATGTACTGTTTTTTCCTACATAAATAGACATTTATAAATTAGGCATAGTAGGAGAGTAACAGTAATAAGAAAATAAAACCTTTATAGCAATATATTGTAATACAAGTTGTGTGAATGTGGTCCCTCTCTCTCAAAATATCTTACTGTATTATACTCACCCCGTCTTGTGATGATGTGAGATGATAAAATGCCTTCCTGATGAGATGAAGTGAGGTAGGTGAATGGTGTAGGTACTGTGAAGTTGCCTTAGGCTACTCTTGGCCTTCTGACCACAGGTCAGAAGAGGATCATCTGCTTCCAGACAGGTTGACCTAGAGTAACTGACACTGCATATAGGGGGCACTACTGTATTGCAGTCATCTAGGCAAGAGATGTTAGTGGCTTAGACCACAGTCGTCACAGTGGTCACAGTGGTAAGGGTAGAGGTGGTGAGTAGTTGGATTCTGGATATATTTTGAAGCCGTGCTGACAGGATTTCCTAATGGACTGGATGTGTGGTTTGAGAAGAAAAAACGCCAAGGATCATTCCAAGGTTTTTGGCTTGAGCAACTGAAAAAATGGAGTTCTGTTAACTGAGAGGAGGAAAAGGTTTGGGATGATGTAACTCCAGGGGGAAAATATGTTCCCACCCTGGTGCAAATAAGTTTTGAAGCCGAAATCAGTGAAAGGGAGAAATAAAGTGGGAGAAATACATTTATTGCCTATAAGCAGTTGCCTACTTCTGCTCACCCATGTCTGTCTGTCTGTCTGTCTATCTGTCTGTCTCTCTTCCATGCCCTGGTCTCTCTGTCTCTCTTTCTCTCCTACCTACCACCCCTCTCCTGCTCCCCACCCATTTTGTAATCACCTATTGATACAGAGATGGACTATTTCTCTTCACCCCTTGGAAGCACCTATTGATATGGAGATGCACTAAGGCCAGGTCAGAGATTCAGAAAATAGTGCAGTTTTACCAACAGATGAATTATGAGTTCTATGTTTAGTTGAGATGCCCGTTAAACAGGTAGGTGGAATAGACATTTGCATGTATGAGTTTAGAGGTTATGCCACAGCTTTGCATTGAGATTTAAAAGCATCCAGAGAGATTTGAGAGCATATAACTAGCTGAGATCAACAAGGAATGTGTTTAGATAGAAAAGAAGTTTTAGTTCAGCCTCAGGCATTCCAGTGATAAGATCGTGATGAGATTAAGCAAGTGAAAAGGAGCCCCTCATCAGTGAAACAGAAAATCCAGAAATTAAGTGAGAAAGTCTTGTAAGGAGGAAGCAGTAATAATCCTATTAACCAAAAGATCTGTAAGACTGGCTGAGAACTGGATGCTGGATCTAGTAACGTGGACATCATTGATGACCTTGGCAAGAAGAGTGTGGTGAGAGCCTGATGGGAGTGGTGTGCAGTAGGAAAGGGGAAGAGGAAATGGAGAGGATGCTCTCAAGGAGTTTTGCTCTGCAAGAATGCAAAGAATCAGAGAAAGAAGTGGAGCCAGAAGAAAGCCCTTCTTTTTCTTCCTCTCCAACCCCTCACCCCCCCTCTCCCGTACTCTCTTCTCCCCGTTGTGGAAGAAGCAGCAGCATGATGTCTCCTGGTGGGACTCACCCAGTAGCCAGGGGAATTTGGGTCTTGTAGAGGGGGGTGAACAACTGAAGCAGTTTCCTTGAACTGGTTGAAGGGAATAGAACCTGCTGGTAGCAGTGGTTTTCGAGAAGAGCATTACAGTTCATCCACAACATTGGCCTTAATGGTCCTTGGAGCTAGATAGGAAGCCATCAAAATGCCAAGGAAATGCAAAATCTAATGAATTGGTGAAATGATTTAGGTATAACCTAGGAGGGCCATTGCTGATCCAAATCTCTGGGAAGAATTAGGCAGTGTCTGCTTAAATCTGGGGTGCATGCCCCCTGAACAAACCATCTTTAAGGCATGACATTTCCATTACAGTGACTTGAAAAAGAATTTCCAACATAACCAATTTGTCAGGGAAGAATCCAATTCATGACTTGCTGTCAAAAGTCTTCTGAAATTTAAAATTATATATAGAAATGAAGCAAATAAAACTCACTCTATCAATTCTTTTGTGGTAAGTTTAAAATTACATTTTTATTTTCACAATGCAAATATTTATACTGTAATCACACCTTGATTGTATTTCCAGTTAAAAATATCAAACTAATTAATTTAGGCTTGTGATCTTAACTGTAAATATTTTTTTTAATTGGAAGTGGACTGTTTGAGGACTTGAGATCTACCAAGTTTTGTATTTAATTTATTAGAGTTATAAGAATTTAGTATTTGGAAATATTTTATGTGTCAAGTGATTAAAGCGCTTTAAGAAGAAAATTGAACATGTTAAATTTGAAGATACAAGTTAAAATATTAAAGAGATTAAATTAAGCCTGTTAAAGGAACCAATTGTTAAAGTTCCCATTAAAAGTGATTGCTGTAATAGTCTAGGTTTATAACTACAATCACATGATTTGTAAGATAGACTTAAAAGCATAAGGAACAGTGATGATTTTACATTTTT